GACCAAACTCCAAATCGTGCCACACACAAGTCACAAGTCGCAGATGCCCAAGTCCAAAGCGCAGTTAGTAACCCGCTTGTCCCTTATCAAAGCCCGTTTCTCCACCACTGCTGGCCGCCGCGGAAATTCAAATGGCCAGATTGGGATTTCTTTTCGTTGTGGGTAAGAATGGAGAGCATGAATGGGGTGGGAAATTATTTTCATCCGGAGTCGAGATGGAAATCTTGTCTGAGCGCTGCCCACCGGGTTGTTCCCCAGCCCTCTTAGCTGGCAGCGCCCGCTGGAGGTTCGACTAGATTCATTATTGGTTCTGCAATTAAATGGGGGGACTTGCGGGCAGAATATCTTCATTTTACATTCATTAAGCTTGCATTGATGAACAATACAACTTTCTACATAATAGTAAAGTAAAAATATGTAATAAATATTACACAATTTCACCTCATCTTCACTCACAAAACTCCACTTCATTACACTGCACATATATAATAATAATAATAATAATAATAATAATAATAATAATAATATTACTAATATTAATAATAATAATAATAATAATAATTTATAATTAATTAACTTCTTTAGTTTAGGATCCAGAAAAGTCAGAGACTTATCATCTGGTTCCGTACAATTCATATATAATTAAAACAATTTTCTAAATAGTACAAATAAATTAGAAAAATAGTAAAAAATAAATTAAAACAATATTCCAATAGTAAAACATTTTAAAAGCAAATTAATACTAGTATTTTACATGGAGTGAACTATTAAACATCGGTTTGTGTATATATTCATATACACACACATGTGTATATGCACATATACATACATATACATACACATACATACACATACATACACATACATACACATACATACACATACATACCATACATACATACACATACTAACCTACATAATGACATACACAGTACATACACATACATACACATACAACACATACATACACATTACATACACATACATACACATACATACACATACATACACATACAACACATACATACAACCATACATACACATCACATAACAGTACATACACATACATACACATACATACACATACATACACATACATACACATATATACACACATAAATATTTGTTACTAATTCATAATCACAGCACATTATGTTATAACTTTCCCTACTGGTATGTAAAATTATTATCATCCACACATTATATACTTGCATTACCAGTAAGCACATTATCATTATAGTTTTATATCTGATTCTCTATCTTGTTTCTTTTATTCCTGCACACATTGTTGTTGATTGCCACTCCAATCGAATATTTTATATTTGTACTTGTTTGGACATAACATAGTTATTTGAATATGATGTAAATTAATACATAAATCTAATCTAATAATCATAACACATTTTGCAATAACAGTATATCATATTAGTTTGGTACACACATTATAAACGCTTAATTTCACAGAAAATATTCTATCACTACTCAACTTTGTTTATGAATTGCAGTCTAGTTTCTTTTTTATTGACAATACTGTCCTACACACACTGTTGTTGGTTGTCACACCGTAGAATTGCTTAGCTGCAGCCATGATTTAATTTAGTTGTTAAAGTATTTGTGGTTTGGCTTTGGGTATTTAATGTCTATCTGGTTGTATAGTTTAGGTATCAGGTACTTCAGAGTTCTTTTTCCATAACCACCCCGTGTGGTGCCGGGGATTTTAGTAAATTAGCACCACGGGACCTCCCCCTGTCGTAGAAGGCGACTAATCGGAGCAGCTGTCCGTTGTCACGCCCCTAAACATCCCGTCATTCCCACAAACTCTGTGTGTCATTGCTTCCACTTGCTTGTGGCACACTTCTATTTTCTGTCCTGTAGCCCAATATTGTGTCACCTAACTCTTGTGTTTCCGCCCCGACGCTATTAGGTTGTGAGGGCTAGGGAGCCCTTTCCATTCTACCCTTCTATTCTATTCTTCTCTGTCCCCCCTTGTTCCTTTCGTTTCCTTAAGCTGGCGGTAGCTCAAAAACGCTAGGGCAAGGGGACCCTGAAGAAAAAAACAAGATGGAGGAGCTGTCAGGACCAACCGTTGCGGTGCAGGGGATCGGAGCCGCAGTCCCGGCGGTGGGTGGTGCGCAAGCAGGCCACCGGGCGTCGTCACCCAGCGACCGCAATGCGGATCACCCGGCATCGCCGACACATACTGCTACGAGTGATAGCGAACCTAGGGTTGAGGGATCCCTTAAAACCCTCTCCAGAGAAAAGCCCGGAGTTCAATGCAAAAAGATGAAAATTGGAAAATCAATGAACTATGATGACTAGTTCAAGAACACCGCAGCGGTACTAAAGTACCTTATAGTAAAAAGAACTGAAGGAAATTTTGATAAAGTGAGCCCATTTCTAATAAAGAAGGATCCTTCATACCAAAAAATTGATTGACGGTAGAACATCTGTCTATACGTCCGTCCGACCGTCTGCGCACAACGTTAGCGCATAAACCTTTCAGTCGATTTTCTCCAACATTGATATTCCCCAATCGTTCTGGCTGATAGCGCTGCAACCGCATTTTAAAACCAATATTTTAATTTTGGGGGGTATTTTACATGAGCTCGTGGCTAGCTCTTGGTCAGTGTGCTAGCTTTCCACTACGCGGCCCCAGGTTCGATTACTGGTTGAGTCATGGGTATAGTGTGCGATTTCCTAGCAATGTCTCAGTACATTTGTTGCTGTGTGACGATGAGAAAATTTACTTCTCTGGCTGAGAAGGCCGGAATACGGCGCGGCATCGTGATGTCTACGTCCCCTGTTAACCCATGGCCGCGAGGCTGGGACGTCGCCGGTAGGCCTGAGCCCTTTCACGGGATGTCGTGCCAAGCGCATGACTACTGTCGCGCGAACTTTACAATAAGCCCCCCGGACATTTTCAAAATTAAAAAAAAATACTCCAATTTTTTTGATTAATTTTTTTGTTGAACAGTGCCTAGGACGTTTAAGAGATTAGTGCATTTTCGTTCATATCTCCTATTTTTCAAAAATATGCAAAAACAATTAAGACTATAAAATTGATGAAATGTTGGTCTCAAACAAATTAGGTTGTGCAAATCAGCTCTTTAAAAAGGCCAAGCACAATTTTTTGAAAAATTGCGAAGTTTTTGCGTAATTTGCGCTTGAAATTATGGCAACTATTCTTTCTCAAAAGACCCCTCCAATTTATTTCTTTAAATTTTTTACACATATGTAGTAAAGGGCGGAAAATTATGATGCTAATCCCTTTTTCGGGTATTGCTCGATTTTTTCGAAATTACAAAACTATCAAATATTTGAAATTACAGAACAAAAAATGAGCGCGTTAAAAAAAGTCAGGTTGAATTTTTTGTGAAAGAAGTTTTCAGGCGATTTCTGTTTAAAATGAATGAGGGATCGTGGGTGAGGAAGTGTGTGTTGTTGTAGCTCCTAGTTTATAAAAGAGTTTCGAGGTTTTAACCTCGGTTCTTCTCCATTTGTAGTGAAGGAACAGCAAAGCAGATGGCCCAGTGGGGTTTCGCTGCAGCCAAAGCGGCGTCTGGACAACGGCAACGAGCCCCATAGAGACTGAAATGCTTGCGAAGGAAAACCTTGAGGGCATTTAGCAGTATACTCGTATTACAATGGCTGTCTGAAAGTCTGTTTTGAAATATTTTCAAATTTTGAGCTTTAAGACTAGCAGTATTTGAACATTTTCTGGATTTGACGTCCTTCCCGCAGGGAGGATATGACCACGCCCTTTCCTGAAAAGTTGTTCAGCATTCAATGTAATTCTCCGACTTCCCGAATATTAGCAACAGCATATTTTTTCAAAAACTTTTGTTACTCATTAACTTGGTATGCCATCGCCGAGGTGAACTCATGATTACCATCATTTTGCGGCTAATCTGAAAATAAGCACACTGCGCTCTTATGCGGAATATTATGATATTTTTTGTATAAGTTGGTAAATAAGTTTATAGATTCTCCGACATTGTGTACATAACTTCCTTGGGTAAAATTCAAGCGAGGACTGCATTCCACCAGAACTGTACTATTTAGTGTCCCATTCGCGAGAACAAACTTTTTATTGTGCTCCATTACAGAAGACGTGCCAAAGAGCTACCAATGGTGTGTTTGGTCTGTATTGCTCCATTTATAAATTTACAAATATTGCGAAAAAAAAATTGAATGACTTCAACTGATGTTTCTAATCAATTAACGTCCTAATCATTATTGGGTGATTGCCTCTATTGTATGTACGCAATTAATTAAAAACGTTGAGAGATACTAAAAGGAGAGTGTGCCCTGCTCACGACTCCCACGTGGCGATTCTGCACGGCGACTCTGCGAATGGGCGCTGGAAGGCAAAGGCGTCGCTCGACGAACAATTGCTCTTTACGCAAACAATAGAGGACGAGTGACTGCGCTGGGGTGCACCGTACACGATTCTTAAGAAAAGACACATCATCACAAGGGATGTGACATCGACAACAAAACATCGATGTTAAGAAAACATCGAACAAAAACTATTGATGTTTCAAGTTGGTTTAGTTGCCTCTAACATTAAATTTGTACGCAACAAAATTTAATTTGACAATGGTCGAGCATCTTCTTTTATAACAAAATGTTAACTTAAAACAATTAAAGCACACCTCTGTCTGCGAAATACGAGGAAAGACGAAATTTGCCATGGTATCAGAATCATCTCAGACGAGGAGTAAATCTCTTCAATGTAGTACATATCGCGTTCGTATGGATCAAAAACAGACAGATAGTGGTCCCATCAGGTATTATTTCATATTTTAACTTTTACAATATTGTGATTATGGCAAATTTTCATCAAGGAACAAAATATCTTAAGCGTAAAAATATCGAGCATAAAACATTGATCTTGAAAAACATCGGCTTCAATCCATCGCTATTATTATGGAAACATCGGTGTGTTGAAATTTTCGAAGTAGACGTCGCATTTATAATCGTAAAACGCATGGAAGTGGAAGATTAAAGCGAATTAGGAGATAATGGGATTAGGTGCATGGAGTTTCATATTTGAAATAAAAACTGAAACAATCCTAGTATTAACACAAATAAGTATGAAACAAATTGAATATAAAAATCTTTATTTAAGTTCACATTACCGAGACCATTGAAACCATTAATACCTAAAATTTTTGATTGAATGATGGAGCATTGAGCGTTGATGGGTATTTCATGTGTTATCAGACGCAATCTGCAAAGATGGAGTTGCAAGCACCACCCCACATGCGGCGGAGGCCTAACCTTGGAAAGGGCCTAAGAGGGCAAATGTAGCGCACCAGTTGCACCAACCAGAAGAGAAGCTCTGCTACGCTGACGAGGCTCATCCCCAAGCAAAGGCCCAGCAGGCCGCCCAGGTTCGCTGCAAAGACAACACAGCATCAGGCATCACATTCAGTCGCACCAACCAGAAGAGAAGCTCTGCTACGGATCATTTGGGATTGAATTTTTTGTTATTAAGTGGCTCCGGCTAGAGAGTCATAGCGCCACCGTGCAGGTTTAACCAGTAGTACGTCTCGGAGGTTCGCTGCATAGGCATTGCTTGTGACAAGGCTCACAATTATTCAGTTGCACGTACAAAAGATCGGCATAGCGCTATTGAGCCGCTTCGGCCACAGGCCTACGCCCATCGGGTTTTTCAGATTCGGTTCATCGCCAATACTCGGCTTGAAAGTCACATTCAGTCGGTTGCACGAAGAAAAAGCAGCACGCGTCACAGATTTTCTAACTCAGGTTCAGCAGGCCTCCAAAGATTTACAGTGTGGACGTCGTATGGCTTAACCTCACATTCATTCGGTTATGAACTATTCTCTCTTGTTGCAATATTAGGGTCACTAAGAATTGATCCTTGTAAGATATATGAAGCGATGTATTTCTGTTTGGTGTGTTAGCACTGCTTAGTGCTCTTGACGTTCCCTTCCACTCGGTTTGTGCAGTGCCTGGTTTGGTTTGAAGGGAGCAACGGTGTTTTACGCAGAGGGCGCCTGCCCCTGCGACCCATAGGATCTTAGCCGCTCTCCTAGCCTATAACAGTATCTACACGCATTTGCCGGAGATGTTACCGCAATTGCAGCGGTTAAAAATGAAAATTAAACAAGTACTCAGAACATCCATAGACAAACAACATGCGCTGACATGTGTTCAGTTACACCAATAATAAACACGAAAAATATAAAATTACCAGCAAATTATACTTTGCAGTGTCAAAAAACAAAAATTTTCTGTAAGGATCCAATGGCTTCTAAATAAGCTTACAGCCACACACTAATGCCCTTTACATGTACTACACAAACGAAAATTAGCTGAACATTTGTGTGTCAAAAGTATGGCTGTCCTCTTTACTGCGGAGGCACCAACCCAGTGAGGAAAATTGAAAGCAAGAGTGAAAAGCGAATCGTGGTGAATGGAAGGGCTCCACTATGACACATCGCAACCAATAATACCATCGCAATATATACTCTCTGTCGCAACCAACATCCTGCCCGAGGCAGGATTCGAAGCTACCACTCTTCAAGACATTTAAGGCGAGACTTTGCAATCTGGTCCACCCGAATTTCCAGGAATAAATGACTCCTCTATAACAGTTTCTTACCTACAAGATCGACGATTCCAAATACTTCCGTCCGCTGATAAGGAGAAAAATATCTCTTCGGAAAATAAATTATCACGAAGCCTCTGAAAATGAAAAAATACGTTAGTGTTCGGTTGGGCATCAATAATATGCAAAGAAAATTTCGTCACATTAATTGGACGAATCCTAAATTTTTGCCAATTCTACGATTCGCGAATATCTCCTATCTTCCGATATAAGAGTATCAACAACAATAATATGTCTGTCGCTATTACTAATAAATTGTTAGCCTAGCGGATCTCGTGTAGCTTTGTTGAAGTGACCGTAAAACCTCAACCGACATATAAGAACAAAAACGTTGAGAACGTAAAGGATCATAAATTACAATATAAATTGGATTTAATAAAATTTGGACAATTTAGGATTTTTTTCCGAAAACATAGAAAAGAAATATAAGACATTGTTGATAGGCGATAAATGACGCTCGCGGTGCGACAAGAGCAGACGAAGTGATAGGTTACGAGGCATATACAAAGTGTAAACGAGGAATTTCGGACAGGATGATCTCCAATTTGATAGGTGGGGATCGATGGCCGTCAGGGCATTGAGTAGTAATATTTTTGTGATTAGTCCGAGGAGATAGAAAACGGACATGTGCTCCACGGGTAACGGCAGAATAACGATGTAATTTAAATGATATTTTTAGGGGAAAAGTGTGTAATATTCGTGGGAGAAATAGATCACGAATAAGAATATAAATTGTATTAGCTGAAATTCAGTGTGGACATAGGAAGAGCTCCAGATGGAATTGGATCAGTCATTGACGCCACTAACAGCGCCAAAATGGCTGTGCATTCTGCAAAAGGGAAGTTTAGGCAATAAGTGACAGACATTAATAAAAATATTATAAGGTCAAGTCATGTTTAAATATTAAGTTAACATTAAAATTAGAAAATAAATATGTGTGTTTTTTTGGTAGAAATTTGATGGCCATCAATAGAAACAATAGAGAAATAAAAAATTGTATTGTTGAACAAAATTAATTGAGAAGGAATTACAAATGAATAAATCGTAAGAAAATTTTGCAGATTGTTTAATTTATTAGTAACAAAGATTCGCTAAGAGTAATTAATTTGTTCACCGCCCAAGCACTCGTGCGAGCGGTATTTTCAGGCCGCGAGACAAGACAACCCTGAGGAGCGTGTGTGTGCTGACGCTTAGAAAATTAAATTAAAACCAGAGCTAGCCCCTCCATTAATTGTGAGAGAGAAAATATTCCAAGTAGAAATTATTTGATTCACTTCAATGGTAGGCCAATACGAGTCCGTAAAGTGTAGTAAATAGTTTAAAAGTAAATTAATAATATTGTAAAAATTAAAAGTGTGTAAAAGAAGGAATGGTTGATTTACTTATATTACACAAACCTGCGAAATAATATTTTTCTCCGGCACATGACTGAATACATGTAGAAAAGTAATTGTGCTGTGATGAATTAAGATCTGGTAGTCAATTTTACCACATACGGTTTTTCTGTGATGCAGAAAAGAAAAAAAAATCTTTGTTTTAGTAATTTCTTGTTAGTAACCATTGTTACAATGAGCACTGTAAAATGTGACAAAATATTTATAATCCCGCCACAGTAGTTTAAAATAAATAGTAAAAAATCAAACTTAACGCGACATATCTGTTTTCTCCTCTGTTTTGTTAAAATCGAACGCTGAATCGATTAATGTTTACGATCCAGACAAATGTTATCTTGTTAAATATCAACATTAGTCAGCCATTCTGGAGACATTCCATAATTCTTGGTAACGAATTTTTGTTTTTTTATATCATGATAAAACCGTTTTCTTTGTTGTTCATTTACAGGTCGTACATTTTACGAAAAGTTCTCAAAATGAGAATTGATAAAATGAAACTTTAAGCACATATATACGAGACTCTGGGATCTTTCCAGCTTCGTTTTAACAGTGAGCAATTTAATTTCCTCGTACTAAGGCTTTTAGAACCTTGAAATGTTTATCAATAACAGCACGTTCGTTTCAAAAACTTTTAACATTGTCCAGAAAACTTTTGATAACATCCATGAGTAGCAAGATTAAGTTTGTTCATTAGTCATTTCATTTATATAATGTGAATTATTAATTAGTTGGAAAATTTAGGGCCGCTAAAAGTGTTTTCTTAAAAAGAACTTACAATTTTTAAACAATTAAAAAGGACCAGATTTGTCCAAGGCTTTAACAAATTCCTGCATTATTCCATTTTGATGACCAAAGCTTGGAAACATTTTCAGCGATTCTAGTTGTGGGCAATTCACATTTCTTCGTGTCTCTGAGTACTATTTTCATTAATAAAACACAGCTCCTTTTTTAAGACATTCAGATTTTTTACTACATTATAAGTTGGTGTTGGCGACGTTTCGGCTAAAGTCTTGTAGCCATCTTTAGACCTATTGTTTAAAGAAAATATGTACATTTTCCAGTATTGGATTCTTGCTACAAGATATTAGCTGAAACGATATCAACGCCAATTTATAATGCAGAAAAAAATAAATCACTTCTGTTAGAAATCGTAAATCTGAATGTCTTAAATTAACCATCTTTTAGTCGCGTGAATCTACTTACATTAAATAGTCGCGATACGGACGAAACCTCCGGGTTCAGAATTTGGACGCAAAAGAGATAATTTAATCGTCAAAAGTTTTTAACTGATACAGTTTTTAATGCACATTAATCTAATATTTTACATAAATATAAATTGTAATCCCAACATCCAATTAGGATATTTTTGAAATTAAACGTAATGAAATGCCTGCACTTGTAACATATGATTGTGGTTGTCCTATTTTTTCTCAATTACAGAAAGCACGTCCTCCAGCTTTTAAGTGATTACTAGTAGCTTGTGATTTTGGGATATGCGACGGCTCAGGGATATCTAACAGTTAATACATTTTTGAACGCAATTCATGGGAGTTTGGATACAGCAACAAGTACGGTTTTTATTTCGACCGGATTAGTGGGTCCCACATCCCTTTGACGGCTCCAGTTTGATCGGTGTTAGTTTATCCCTTGATTGCTGTACTTACTATTTTCTCTAGTAATGAATCAGGAAATATGTGAATCCATGCGTGAGCTACGGCTATCACATTGCCTGCTTGACCTTTCACCCCTGGTAGATGCAAGTCAACTTGCACACGGTGTACCACAGGGGTCGAATTTCAGCATATTCTCATCCTCCTAATGTAATGGATGTGCCCTCGCCTATTTGAAAGGGAAGGGCCGAACGTTGTTTGCCAAAAAGAAACGGTAGAGAGTACGCACCGCCTACCAAAGGCAGTGAAGGCACTCACTCGAGCGGGCCGCCGCCGGGGGGCAGGCGCTCCCTGGAGACCTCGGCGGAGAAGGTGAGCTGCATGCACGTGGCCAGGCAGTCGCAGGCGCGCTGCACCGCCGCGCCGCTCACCCGCGCTGCGACACACCACACTCCCTCCAGCCACCCGCACCAGCCACTCGACAACTTGTTAAACAAACCAAGCTCACATCTGCATCTCATTTCAAAATCAATGAAAAATACATGAACCTTATTTTACTTTTTCTTACCTTGTGCCTCGGTTAAGCAATTCCAATCTCTGTGAGGGCAAATTGGAGCTTCCAGACCATCTGTGAAATAGAAATGATAATAATCATTTCATAATAATAATCAATAACAGACAAGTTGTTCAACACAAATTCACCTTCAAATTACTATTGTTATTCTTTTTACACTTTTCTCTTAAATATTATAACCTCATTATGTTAATTAAAATGGTTTAAGGACCCATTTTGATGAAAGAACGCGTATGCGAGGAGCCGAGCCTCGGCCGTCGCGGAGTCCACTCAGCCAACTAACTGCACGCCAGAGCAAATCAATTGGAGTGTACATCTTCTTTGTAATATTTTCTTGGTGTTTTATTATAGCAATTTACGAAATATAACTTCTTTATATTCATTATAATTTTAATGTAGTTTATTAATACGGTACTTTTAGTACAAGACTAAAAAGGAATTATTTAAGCAATTGTTAAAAGTTTAAAAAAATATCAGCGCGTAGCACTAAGCTATGACCCCCTATCCCAAAGTAACGCAGTGTAACGCTGTATCAAACCCCTCACGCCTTCTTCAGCGGTTCCTCATTTATGAACGACCCCTTAACCCTTCTTTAGCCGCGTCTATCTATTTGCCTTAAGTAGTCGCGTCACGGAGGACGCCTCCGGGTCCAGAAATTGGACGATAACAAAACATATAACACTGAAAAATCTTTTAATTGATGCACTTTTAAGTAAATATTAGTCTATTGTTCAGTTTTACATAAAACTTCTCATAATAACAATATTGTTATTATAAAAGCGGTATTCGAACTCACAGTCGCTGTGAGTGGAAAGTGTGCTCACGTGGGTAGTAGAAGGGAACGCAGCCGCAGAGGCGGAGGGTGACGTTGGAGAGGCACTCGAGCTCGCAGTTGCTCTGCGTGTAGAGGCCGAAGAAGCGGAGTGGCCGCTCGTCCTGGAAGTAGCACTGGCGCTGGCTGGGCGTGTAGTATCTGCGCAGCGCGGGGCTGGTGATGACCATGTGTGGGGTGAGCGCGAGGGTCACTTCTTCTTCAGGCGTCGCCGGCACCGTAGCCTGCCCTAGGGAGGCCACAGTCGCCGGGCTGTGCAGCTGCACCTGCAGGACATCATGTACAGGGGCCAGGGACAAGGCGTGGAAACTTTGAATAATCGCTAAGACAGTTGTAAGCATATTTGGCCAATAAACGTCCTGGATATTCCGAATGGCTGAGCGGCAACAGGCACTTAAATGTTGGTTGAAAGAAATACTTTCTATGCAAAACTTTGCATTGCGGAAGCATATAAACACTTGTGTGGTTTATCAAAGGAAATAAATATATTTAGGTCAGGAATCAAATTAACCTAGAAAATAAAAAAAAGCGCTCAAATTTTGTAAATCGGGTGACTTTTAAAATTAATGTCAGTGCTTCATTATGTTGAATTCGACCTAGGTTGTATCCAGTGTGGAATATCCTGCCACCGTCGCACAGTGATGAATTACGCGTCGCTAGCTGCACAGAAATGCAATAATCAACTTTCTTGAAAATGGCTAAAATTGATTTTGCTTCGAAGTACTTAAAACAGAGCAAGAAAATGTGTTGTGGGGACGATGTGGGAACGTGCGGAATTCAGCCGTCTATCTCCGGTCGCGATTCAGAAAGCTCGTGGATAAGTGTGTTAGGTGTTCTCTGAAGGCTGAAAGTCTACTGCATCGACAGGAATCACTCCGACGCGGGTATGTGTCTCTCTGGTAACAAATTAGTGATGGTAGTTATGAAATTATACTCTCAAAAACAATTATTTTAACACTGTTTTATGTAGATAGATGTACATGATTCAAATTTCGTTCATTACCACATCTCTGTCCTCTGTGCTGAGATATGATCTTTTATGGCAACTGCGCCCTCGCGACGTTGTCACTGGAAGAGAGCTGGTCCAGTGCGCCCGTAGAGGAGTCGGCGTTCACAATGTCTCGGCACTTGGGAATAAAAATAATTTTCTTAATGACGTTAAACCCAATTTGGGCGTCGACGAAGTGTGGAAGTCAAGTGAGGAGGAAATTCGTGAGAAAATGAGGACAGCTTGTTTCAATCTCGCAAAGCGTTGGAAACGCAATGTGTATCAACGAGTAGAAATAAAGCTGTCTAATAAATTATCTTCATCTCTAAGTGAAGAGTTCTGTGTATTGGAACGTTCAAAAACCTTCACAACGAGACGAAGAAGGTCTGAGAAGTTCTTTTACGAAAACATCGAGAGAGAAAAGAATCGAAAGTTCAGCGACATATTATCAGAACGAAGCCCCCCTGAATTGCCGTTTGTCGTTCAGTGCAGTTTCCAATGAAGCGGCCAAAGGAAGGTAGCCGATGTCGTAGAACAGGCGTCAACGAGTACTGCTAGAACCCGGGGTAGAATTAAGCGCGCTGCAGAAAACAATGTAGCACAGCCGGAATAGTATTCACCCGAAGAAGTACTAGGTTTGATATTGGACATGCAAATGCCTCGCCACGTGTACATAACGCTACGAGAAGGTCCCTGTACCTGCGAGCAACGTTTCTCGGAGGGGGCTACTGGTGCGTCAAATGCGGATACGTTCGTTTCAAGCATTGTCCCCTTGCAAGTGTCCGCTAGAACAGCACAATCTGGAAACATTCTCTGGGATACTCCTAGAAATTCTACTCGGTACTTGAGACCACTTCGTTTCCAATTTATTAAAGAAACATCCGCAACAATCAGGGAGGAGTTTCAGTGGATAGAGAAGGCGATAACACCACCAAACCCACATTTGTAACAATTGGTGAACACAAACTTCAAGTAAAGCACTTCCTAATGAAAACAGTGGTAAATGGTAAAGTTTACTGTAGGTTACTGAAGAGCGCATCCCAGCAAGTGTGTTATATAGTTAAGAAATATTTTAGGATTATTTCAAATTAAGGAAAAACGTACTCAATGAAGTGTCTTAGGCAATCGGACCATTTTTCGTATGATTCCACGTCTTTTGAGACAAAGTGTATTTCGAAAGAGCGGCTCTGCGCCTGCTCGTGCGAGTGCCAATGACGAGTATGCAGGAAGTTCAAAATGCCTTTTTAGTGTTTCCTCATAGTGTTTGGCCAGAAAGTGGCTGTCGTTTATAATTGCAACAAAAATCTATACTAAACTTTTTTCGCTAAATATTGTTACAGAGCAACAGTCAGCATAGACGTACCAGATGTGCCAGTTCATTTTGATCGATCATCGGGGTTTGGAGAAATGGTTTTTGTGGACGTGGCGAGGCAGTGCAGTGACGAAGCAGCCGAAGAGGAGGCTGTCGCTGTGTGGCGCCTACGCAACGCACCTGCACGGAGCGCCGTCCCTCGGCGCACGCGGCGCCCAGCAGTTGGAAGTCCACCCGGTAGGCGGCGCTGAGGCCGGCGCCCGGGCCGCGCACGCGCGCTGGGAAGCCCGGCCCCGCCGCGCCCGCCGCGAAGCCTGCGTCCGGCGTCCACGACCACCCCTCGGCCGGCGGCGGCGCCCCCCTGCGAGAAAGCGGGCTGGCGAAAGAAGCACTTGTTACCGGGCCTTGAAAGATGAAAGGGACAAATCTTGAACCTGCATGTTGGGAACAACTTACTTTAACACCATGTGTAGTAGAAACACGTGCTTTGTGCGTATTTGGCAAAGAGATCTCGATTGACGGCAAAACGTGTCAGTCTGTGCGCGGTCAACGCTAGCGCCTATACCGTTCGGACGATAGTCTCCAAAATTGATATTCTTTAATCGATCTGGCTGATGTCGCGGTCCCTTTCATTTGAAATCGAAATTTGAAATTTTAGGAGTACTTTACATAAAGTTTCAAAGTTGTCGAAATTTTGTCAAAAATCGCTCCAATTTTTTGGTTAAACTTTGTCCTCCGATAGAGTAAAGAACTACTGAAAAATGGCATAGGTCTCATTTTCCTTGAAAGAACTAATTAGAAAATGGCAAAAGTTTTATTTTTTCGGCGCTTTCCTGCAACTGTAATATTGACATTATTTCTTAATAAAATCTGTTTAAAGATAGATCTTGAAATAGTGGCGAACATTTTTCGAAAACGTAACCCTAGGTTAAAACATTAGAAAATCAGTAATGTGAGAAAGTGTATGCCATTTGTAGCACCACTAGTTGTTACTGTCCACGTAATTATAGTATAAGGAGCGTTGGCAAAGGAGCGAGCCGGACGCTTCAGTGGTGCGGTTACCTCTCAGTCCCAGCCCCCGACCGGTGCCCCGAATGCGTTGCGTGCTGTGCAGAGCAGGAAGGAGGACAAAGAGGAGGAAGGAAATGTCGCGCTTGGCCTGTTGTGCTCCGGCATTCGTCGGGACGCGAACCCTAAGACTTCAGTCAGTCAGAGGCACCCTCCCGGTGTGCAAGGGCTGATCCCTCCCCGCGCCCTAGCCCAGGTCTTTGTAACGCGCAGCAGCTCCCATTGGGAGGTCTCGGGTGCGAGACCTGACGGAGGAGAACTTTCCACTGCAGCGGTTGTGTATTCAGCCGTTCTCTGCAGAATTCAAATGGCCGGCTGATGTGATCGGAAGTTGTTTCCCGTGGTTTCTCCGATGACCACCAGGCGATACCAGAGCAGCGCCCCAACAATCGGGCCACGGATCACTGGCATCTTTCCTTCCTCTTCCTCTTCCTCGACCGATCCTCCAGCACTGCGCTGCCACCCGTGTCGGGAGCGGGGCTGGGGCCTCGCCTAGGGGACCGGAATCGCGAGCGACTGCAGTTGCTTACGGCTTCTTCCGGAAGATGGCACCGCCGGGCAGCGCGTTGTGCACGTTGCAGAGGCCGTTGGGCGACACTAGCGCTCGGCGCACCCGCGGCGGCTGCGGCGGACGCTCCTCGGAGGAGAAGTTGTGCACGGCCAGCTGCGGAGGGCGGAGGCGGTCGCTAGAGACCGCAGCGCTGGCGTATTTGCGACCGGCTCCCTCACTTTCCCACAGCTCGGAAACAATGAGCGCTTTACCCCAACGTCCCTCAAATAACTCAATACGTTTTAAAACTTTTAAACACAATTCACTAGCATATACGTCTATACTGGATTTCAATTACTTATTA